TATAGGGGGCTGAAGCTCAGAGATTGACAAAGCTTCCTATCAATTCTGCTTAAAAAAAAAATAAACCTTATCTCAGAACCAAGTAGAAACAACATAAATCACCTCAAAACAGCTTCAAGTACTGAGATACCTGAATTTCTTCTCTTGGGTCACAAAGGTTTCAGATGAGGTTGGGTTTGCAGTGGGGGACTGACCTGAGAGCCTGGGGCTGTCCGTGAGCCATGCCCCAAGGAGCTGCACAAACACACTGAGGGCATGAAGAAAAATGTTTTCCACCTAATCTTGTTACTGTAACAACACCAGTGAAATCTTTTAAAGCAGAAAAATGTGATGTTTTAACGTGATAGCAGTGTCCCTTCAGCTCTGTGACAAATGCTATCTGCTGCCTGCATTGCAAGAGTCCTGTAAGCTTGATGGCAGTCCGAGGCCACAGGGCTTTGATTTCCAAGAAAGCTATGACTCCTTTAAAATAGTAATTTCTTGGCTAGATGTGATGACGTTGAAAGGTTATTATTTTCTTCCCCTCTTTCTAGCCCATCTGAGCCTTTTTTCTCTGTTTTTTCTTCTGTCACTTTTCATTCCCCAGCTCCTTTCCTTGGCTCTTCCTTTTTCCAGCGCACTTTCCTGCTTTTGCCTTAAAGTTGGTGTTCCCCATCCATTTTAAACCACTTCTGCACAAAGCTTTACGTTGGTGGTGAAGTTTCTCACCTCTTCTTCCCTAGCAAGAACAGGAACAGAGTTTCCACACATCTAAAACACAAGCATCACAAGCTGCAGCTGCTTTTATGCAAGACAAGCTCCCAGATCTTCCATGTAATCCAAACCTCCTAGGTTAGGCTGGCAACAGCAGCCTGAGGATCACAGAGATGGAGTAGTTTGGGTTGGAAAGGACTTTTAAAGGTCATCTGTGGTAAGCACATTGCTCTCCCTCTCAGGATTTTTCATAGAGGTGCACAGAGAGAAATGAAAGAGAAAATAATTTTTATTTTTACTCCGTGTTTTTCCTATGTGGAATGTTTGGAGAATTGTTTACCTGGGGTGATTGCTTGATTGGATTCTGGTGAGGATTGTTTGAGCCTGGTGCCAATCCAACCCACCTGGGGCTGGGCTCTCAAGGGAGGATCAGAAGTTGTGTCAGAGATGGAGTCAGAAAAAATAGTATGTAGTTTTAGTATCCTCCTTTTATATAGTATATTAATATATTTTAGCATAGTTATAATAAAGAAATAATTCAGCCTTATAAATTAAGTCAAACATCATCATTTCTTCCCATTAGGTTCACCTGCATTTACAATAGTCATCCAGTCCAACTCCCCTTGCAGTGAGCAGGGACATCTTCAACCAGATCAGCTTGCTCAGAGCCCCATCCAACCTGACATTCAACACTTCCAGGGATGGGGCAGCCACAGTTTCTATGGACAACCTGTGCCAAGGCCTCACCAACCTGTAAAAAACTCCTTCTTGTATCTAATTTAAATTGACTCCCCTTTTCAGCATCTTTATGTGATGATTGAGCCCTGCAGGCTCTCAGTATAGATTTGTGTTTATTGCTAAAAAACAGGTTGGAAACATCCAGCAGTTACCTCTTGGCTAAAAAACCTAAAATTATTAGCCAGAAACTAAGTGGAATTATATTATTTATGTTAACAAAATATACTATCAATTTGTGTATTTTTAAAGTGTGGCTCTCACAGTTCCTAGGGATCCTTCCTTGCATCCCCTGAGCCCTGATCTGTCCATAACAGACCTTTTCCTTCAAAACCTCCTGAAGTTTTGAAGGGCAGCTGTGAAATGAAGAGGAGATGCTTAATTTCATTCTACTGCAGCAGCTCAGCAGCACGAAGACAGCGCTGCCCTGGCTTGTGTTTCTCCCAGTCGGATTTCTGTACGGCTGAGTGCTAAGGATATTTTTTTACTTGAAATCTTGAATTCTGCAGAGACCGAGTGCTTATTTCTCAGGATCACCAGGGAAAATTTCTTACTCTCCCAGCAGGGCGGAAATTTCAAGGTCTGAAGCTATAATATATGTAGTCTTTCAACATCATTAAAGGAGGGGGTTTCTGACAGTGCCACCATGATGCAAAGCAAACTCTCCTGCCTGTGAATCCCCAATCAGTCCGTGCTGTCATGTTACAGTGGAGGTAATTTGGAGGCTCTGAGAACGGGGGAGAAGGTGAGACATCACTACACTGCTGGGTGGTAGATGATGGACCTTATATGTCACTTTTAATGTGGTTTTCTATGACATCATTTGCCTTAATTTGCTAATTATCTCAGTTTTTAAGGTGCCATGGGAGTTCAGAATAGGGTCTCCAGGCAGGAATCTCTGGTCACTTAGAGAACAAGGCCATTATAGTGTTGTAATGACTGAGATGAGGCAGTGCTGGGGTGGAGCCCAGCTCCATCCTGCCCAAATCCTACCCTGGGCAGGACATGGTGGGATGGATGTTATTCACTTGACCTGTGGCTGGATCTGAATTAAACCAGGTTTTATTTATTACTATTATTATTAGGTTTTATTTATTATTATTATTTAGGAGATATGAGGATATATCGAAGAAAACACTTCATAGTATCCTGGAATGCTTGGGGTGGGAAGGGACCTTAAAGATCATCTCATTCCACCCCCAGGGACACCTTCCACTGTCCCAGGCAGCTCTAAGCCCCCTCCAACCTGGCCTTGGACATGTCCAGAGATCCAGGGGCAGCCACAGCTTCCCTGGGCACCCTGTGCCAGGGCCTCCCCACCCTCACAAGGAAGAATTCCCTCCTAACGTCTAATCTAAATCTCTGCTCTTACAGCTTAAAGCTGTTCACCTTTGTCCTATCCCTATCAGCCCTTACTTGCTTCACAGCATTAAAAAAACTCCCCAGGAGGAATATCTGGCTTTTTTTTGAGCTCGGAGGGCTGCGTGCTCCTTACCTTGGGTGAGAGGAGACCCAAGTGGTGGGAGATGTGACCCTCAGGATGCAGAGAGCAGCAGGACTCCCCCGGGAGCCGAGCGAGCGGCAGCGCGGGGCGGAGGAGCAGAGGCTGCCCTTTGCCCAGTGGCCCATGTGGAATTGGACTTTGGAAGTGGCAACAGGGAGCAGAGGAAGGGCCCCTACAGCTTCTGAGCAGGTGTGTGTGGCTGCTGAAGGGGGAGCATGGTGGTGGGAGCCCCTGGCCAAAAATTGGGGTGGGCCCTCGGTGGGATTGGAATAACAGGTGCCTGGGTGTTTGTGGCTGGGGGATATTTAGGGCAAGGGTTTATTTGGATGTCACCAAACTGAGCCCCCTCTGTTCAGACCTGTGTGTTTTCCAGTTCTGAAATTATGCCAAAGTGCCCTTAACTTTGAGGGGGAGGAGTGAGGAGGGGTTCAGACAGCATCTGGCCATCTCCCTGCGTTGGGGACGCCTGTAAATGTGGGGGCACTTTGGGTACAGATGCTCCAAGAGGAGACATGGGGGGCTGGAGGGTGACATCCCCCTGGCAGCTGGGGCTTCACCCATGTGCCACCCTCGGCTCTCCTCAGGATTTCCTCTTCTGCATGGGGCTGCTATAACCAAGTCTGGTGCCTGCTTGGAATTCTTGCTAGAGCTGAAAGGCAGGAGGAAATTCCGCTTTCCACCCCATCCCATAACTCACAAGAATAAACCTCCATTTCTCCCTGCCTGCTCATTTCTTGGAACAAAACCCCTTGTCCTGCCCAAAACTTTGCCAATGTCCCCTCCTGTACTGCATATCAAATGGGGTTCCATTGCCATGTCACAGAGGGGAGGGTGATTTCTCAGCCTGTCACAGCTTGAGGGAGCTGTGAGTGCTGGTGCTTTGCAGCTGGGAAGACCTTACCAGGGTATAAGAAGGCTTTTTAACGTAAGGACAAATTTTATAGCAGGGCCTGTAGCAATAGGGCAAGCGGGGATGGTTTTAAACTGAAAGAAGAGAGATTTAGGTTAGGTATTGGGAAGAAAATCTTTCCTGTGAGGGTGGTGAGGCCCTGGCACAGAGAAAATCCTTATCTCTGGAAGTGTTCAACATCAGGTTATCAGGTTGGATGGGGCTTTGTGCAACCTGGTCTAATGGAAGGTGTCCCTGCCCATGGCAGGGGGTTAGAACTAGATTTTTAAGGTGACTTTCAACCCAAACCATTCTGAGATTCTTATTCTGGGAAGAGATGGATGTGTGTTGCTTTCAAAGGCAGACCATTTCATCCTGGTGTTTTAAGGGAAGCTTCAAGTTAAGGAAGATGTAGAGCTGATTTTTCCTTGCCTCTGGGCATTTTGGAAAGCATCCTGGGTTTCCAGGATGCTCCGAAAAAGCAGTAGCTGGAAATAGGCTTCAAAAAAGGGGCTTTGAGGGGGTTGAAAAGCTGCTGATCAAACACACTGTGACTTATCATTTCCAGGCCACCAAAGCCAATTGGGGCTTAAGCTCCCCAACAGCAGAGAGGATTTTGCTGGCAAGCTTGTGATGGAGCCCTGGGCTCCTGCCCAGACGCCCCAGCCCTGGGAGAGGCCGGCAGCACGGGGCTCGTGGGCAGAGGGGCAGCACGGCCCCCCGGCACCGCTCCGGCGGCACCTCCTGCAGTCGGGGCAGGCTCCTCGGCCCGGCTCCTGGCACGGGAGACACCTCCCTGGTCACCCCTGGGACGAGGGCCACCACCCCCGCAGTGACAGCAGCTACCCCAGCCAGCCCCGCTCCAGGTGAGATCCCTTTGATCCCTCTTTGTGGAAACCTAAAATAAGGACTGCCCCTTTCGCTGCTCACAGGTCCTGCCCTGGTGACTGTGTGTCAGTAGGTGATGTCCACCTATTCAAGCAGCCCCATGACTTCTGTATTTAAGGCTGCATAGTGTTTGCAGCTTTGTTTTCTTCTTAAAGCTGTGACTTCTGTGGTTGCTGTTTGACAAGCTCTGTCTCAGCCCCGAGGTGCATTTTTCTTACAGGTTTGATTAAATGCAGTTCTTTTTTCCTAAGTGCAAGGTGAACAATAAAAATACAAGCGGTAATATAGGAGCAAGAGGCAGCCTGCAAGCTCAGCTGCTGAAACAGTGAAGAGTGGACGGATAAAATGTGGGCTGGAGGATGCTCTCAGTGCTGAGAAAGAGCTTCCAGCAAATCTGGGTTGATTTGCCTGACTTATTGCCCTCAGTGAATTATAGAGTCAGTACGTGGGGTTTTGTGCTGAGGTCGTATGATGCAGATGGGATATTAGGAAGTAAATTTCTTTCTAAGTGTGGTGAGGCTCTGGCACAGGTTGCCCAGAGAAGCTGTGGCTGCCCCATCCCTGGAAATCCTCAATGCCAGGCTAGACAGGGCTTGGAGCACCCTGGTCTAGTGGAAGGTGTCCCTGCCCATGGCAGGGGTTGAAATGAGATGACCATTAAAGGTCCCTTTGAACCCCAGCCATTCTTGGATTCCATGAAACTGGGCATCACCTGGGCACAGCCTTCTCAGAGGTGGGGGCAGCAAAACATCCAAACCTCCTCCAGCTCCTTCCAGGTGTGATGCTGGAACAGCTCCTGGCCCTGCCACTGAGCAGGGGACCTGGCTTTATTTCCATCCCCTCTGCTGCCTCCAAAGGTCCCAAGCAGGAGAGACCCTAGATGTGACCCTGGAACCCTTTCTTGCCCAGATCAGTGTGTTGTGTTGTTTTCCAGGCAGGGCTATGAAGACCCCCACTGGCAGTATCCTGCAGCTGGCAGCAGGGATGGATACCCCTACCAAAGCCACCAGTGGCAGCCGGTGGCGTGGCAGGATGACAGAGGTATGGGCTCATCCTTTGGCTCTGGGGGTGGAGGCAGCTTGCAGAAGTGATGCTTTCCCCAGGAGGGCTGCTTCTCACATCCAGGGTTCTCTCCTGCCCACACTCCTGGGTGGTGGTGGGTGCTCTGTGCAGCACTGGCTCCCTGTTTGCATTTAGGAAATGTGAGCAGGAGCTAGGTGCACCCAAGGGATGTTTGATCTTCATTACCATGGGCTAAAAACCTGTGTCATTCCTGGTTCCAGCCTGAATTTGATGGTGCTGTGTGAGCAGGATGGCCAGGGCCTCTTCTTAGCTGTTTTTGGACTGAACAGAAGAGGAGGGAGGAAAGAGAAAAGGACGTCAGGGGTGTGTTGGAAAATGTGCACAAGGCATTATTATCACATCTCCAATGTGTTGGGATAATTTGGAAGCAAACTGAGTGGGCATGGCAAATTGCCCGACTCATGGTTTTTCTTTTGCAACTTCATTGTTGCTCTGGAGGGATAATGCTGAGTCTTGATTCTCTCTAGACCTGAGACAGAGAGAGTCTTATGGCAAGAGTTACCAGGACCAGCACTACTACAGGGGCTACCACCCCAACCTGGCCACGGGCCCCCCAGGGCAGGACAGGTAAAGCTGTCTGTGCAGCCTGTGAAACCACCTGCTGCAAAATGAGCAGGTTTGTGGGTGGCTCAAAAATCCCAGACCTTCAGCATGTCTCCTTTTGCTCCCACCTGCAGGACACAGACCTACAACTCCTATGAGGACAGCTACACCTCGACTGCCAGGAGGGAAGGGACAAGGGAAGAAATCCTCAGCAGTGATTCAGGGGAGGCTGGTGGCCAGCCCAAAGAGGTGACCTGAAGATGGGCAGGGGTGGAGGACAAGAATCTCTGAGATTTGGGAAAAATCCATGTGTGCCCCTCCAGCTGAGAAAAGGGCCCCTTTGTTATGTAGCACTCAATGCCTGACAGTCCCTGGGGATTATGCAGCAGGTTTTTAGTGTTTGTGTTCTCTCCCTCTGCTGGGCTGTCCCTCCCCCAGGTGCAGGGCTGTGTGCTCAGCCCAGGAGCAGACAGAAATCCAGGCTTAGTGGGATGTTCTGCAATGGGTCTGGAGCACAAGCCTGATGAGGAAAGGCAGAGAGGACTGTGGGGGCTCAGCCTGGAGGAAAGGAGGCTCAGGGATGACCTTGTCACTCTCTGCAACTCCCTTAAAGGAGGCTGTAGCCAGGTGGGGATCAGGCTTCTCTTCCACAGAACAAGTGACAGAACACCAGGAAACAGCCTTAAGTTGTGCCAGGGAAGGTTTAGGTTGGATACCAGGAAAAAATTTCTTCAACAAAAGAGTTGTCAAACCCTGGTATAGGCTGCCCAGGGAGGTAATAGAGGCATCCCTGGCAGAATTTTAAAGACATGTAGATGTGGCAGCTGGGGACATGGTTTGGTGGTGAACATGGCAGTGCTGGATTAATGGTAGGACTTAATCTTAGAGGGCTTTTCCAACCTTAATGATTCCCTGATCCCATGATTCTAGCTTCCTAGGTAGCTGACAGCTATTTGTCATTGTCAGTTCTGTTCACCAAGTCATGCTCCATCACACTTGTGTCCTGATTGCTGGGTTTTATCAAGACAAAATGAAAAGATCAAATCAAAGCTGCTCTGGTGATTTTGCTCTTGAATGGTGCTTTTTTGGGTTTCCAAGCCCCATCTCCTTGGTGGTGGTGAGGAGCTCATGTTAGGGCTAGGAAGGCTCTCAGACTACAGCTGTGGCTGATGTAAATTACTTTTTTAAGCTGTTGGGTGGACCCAAGCTGGTGTAGGGCGTGAGCTGCTTTGTGCTGCTCCTGCTGGGCACTTCCCTGGAGCAGCAGAGCCTGCCCCACTGCCTGGGAGCAGGAAATCAGCAGTGTCCCTAGTTTTTGAGCCAGATTTGTATGTTCTCCCTCCCTTGCAGCCCTCGGGCCAGCCCAGCCTGCTCCTGCAGTACCAAGAGTCAGGACTCAGCTCCAGCAGCCATGAGCTCAGCCTGTACATCCGTGATGGTGCTGACCACGATGACCCTGTGCTTCCAGGGTCCTGGGACATGGGACAAACAGGTGAGGTGTAATGGGGGGCTGTGACAAGGGGGAAGCAAGGGAATGAATGGCTGGTGGTAGGATATTGGCTGTCTCTCAGCTGGGTCCTCTCCTGGAGGAGGTTGTGCAGGCACAAGGCATGACTGGGGGCTGTGGGGAGGGTGAATGGTCTGGGGGCAATGCCTGGGTAGGTGTAGGAGCTGCTGTGCACATCTGCTACTTTTAAGGACAATTCTTGCTTAGGGGGTCAGTGGAGGGCCACTTAAATTGGGGGACAAGGTTGGGACCTGGTCAAGTCCTCCATAGTGGGTGTGGTGTGTGATCAGTGTGAGGGGCTCACAGTGGCCTATGTGTCATTGCAGAGGGGTCCTCGGTGTCCACCCCAGCCCCAGCAGTCCCTCTCAAGTTCCCACAGCTGCACATGGCGCTGTGCTTTGGAGCTGGGGGTCACCTGGTGCTGGCGTGTCCCCACCACCCTGCTGAGGGACAGCTGCCCCGTGTCGAGCTGCACAGCCTGGAGGTAGGACACAGCTGGCCCTGCAGGGCCCCCATCCCCTCCCTGGAGACGCTCCTGTCACCCTGAGGGATGCAAACATGGTTCATAACCCAAGCAGCCTCCTCAGCAGCCTTCCCATTCCTTGCTCCCATCTTCTGTCCATCCCACGTGGACTTTTGAGTCTCCATTGTGCCAGCCTGTGCCTGGGCGGTGCTTTCAGCCTTCTGCTCTGTAACCACTCATTACAGAGGTACCTGTACTGCTCTGCACCTTGAGAGCACAGAGCTCTCAAGGTACCTGAGACTCTCACAGATAGTGGTACCTGTGACTGCTCACAGTGATTCCTTCTCATGGCAACAGATGTGGTTTGTTCCTCTCCAAAGGACAACTCCACTATCTTCCTGAGGTGCTCCAAAACAGGGGCCTTGTCCATGCCCCGAGTCTACCACAGCATTCCAGTCTCCTATTTTACCTCCAGAAGGAGGCAGATGCCGTCTCAGCAGACATTTGTTTACTGGACCTTAGCACTGAAGCCCAGGTGATAGCTCAGGGCCTGTGATCTGTGGTTACCTTAAGACAGCACAAGGTTCATTGGCACTGTTGAATCCTTGGCCAAGGCACTGGCTTTCCAATAGCCTAGCTGGAGCTGGTCTGAATGCTGGAGGCCAGCTGCTGAATTTACATTTGTTTTTTAGGCAATCCTTCATGGCACAGAAGAGCTAGAGGAGCTGCAAGCCTTCCCCGGGCCCCTGGCCAGGTATGGCAGCACAGGCAGGTGCAGGAGCTGTGTCCTCCTGGCTGTCTCCTTTATCAGGACATGTGAGATCCAGGCAGACTCAAAAGGTCCCCGTGGTTTTGAGTTATCTACAAAGGCCATGTCTAAGTTCAGGCTGGGAGCTCAGCCCCTTTGATGCAGCGTGGGCTGGTTTGGGTTGTGGGACATGGTTTTTTTGTATATTCATGGGATGTGGGTTTACTGTGGTTTGTACATCTGACCTTATTTTGTACTCATTTTGTCTGAGAAAAATGATTTTTTTTGTGTTTCTTTGGATGGCTAAAGCCCTGGGTCAACTTGTGGCTTAGATTTTCCTAAATTTTTTGTCCCCAGAGATGGCTGAGCCACAGCAGGGTCAGACCCAGTATGTACCTTCTTCCAGTGTGAGCCTGGGGATGAATCAGGGCGCGCTGCATCAGGCTGTCTCTATTTCTGACCACTCCCAACCAAAGAGAAGGGAGAGAAGGGGAAAAAGCATTTTCCAAGCAAAAGGGCTGTGCATACACAAAAGCTGTGTGGAATATCTGGAATATATGGAGCTTCCCTTGTGAGCTCTTGTGAGACCCACCTTGAGTGCTGCAAACAGTTCTGGTGCCACCAGCATAAGAAGGACATGGAATTGTTGGAGCAAGTCCAGAGGAGGATAAAGGGACTGGAGCAGCCTCCATATGGAGACAGGCTGAGGAAGTTGGGGCTGGAGAAGAGAAGGTTGTGTGGAGACATCACAGCACCTTCCAGTATCTGAAATGACTACAAGGAAGCCAGAGAAGGTCTCATTGTCAGGAACTGTAGAGACAGGACAAAGGGCAGTAGGTGCAAATTGAAACAGGGGAACTTTAGGTTGGATATATGGAAGAAATCCTTCCCTGTGAGGGTAGTGAGGCTTCAGGCTGCCCAGAGAAGTGGTGGATGCTCTGCCTCTGGAAGTGTTCAAGGCCAAATTGGACAGGGCTTGGTCTAGTGGAAGGTGTCCCTGCCCATAGCAGGGGGGGTTGAACTAGATGAGCTTTAAGCTCTCTTTCAACCCCCAGACCATGCTGTGATCCTGGGTTAACACTTGTGCCAAAGGGTGCATTGGGAATCTCTATATAATATGTTGGAATGACCAAGTCAGGATCAACATCTCCACCTGCAGTTTCCCTCTCTGTTTCATCCACTCTTTCTTTCTCACTTTATTTTATTGCAGGGCAGCACTTCTGCCTGGCTTGCACATAGCTTAAGGGTTTCTGTGGTCACACAAGTGACCCTCCACTCTGCCTCCACCACAGATTGTGCCTGCTTCTGCAGCCGTGGACATCCATGGATGTCATGGCAGCACAGCAAATCCAAACTGTTTTGTTGCAGATGGATGGAGGAAAGTATTATCAGGAGGGAAAAGAGTGGGTTTGAAATGTACTTCGCATCCCTGAAACGCAGAGATCTGCTAAGAGTCACAATAAATTTGAATGTGTTTGAACTTAAAAGTAGTCACTGGTACTGGGGATCTTCTTTCCTCCAGCTCTTGCTTTGAATCTTTGGCATCCCCATCAGTGAACCTGGGGACTGAGCCTGAATGATGCCCTAGGTTGCTTTGCCTTGGCTTTCTTTGATGCTTCTTTCTGCTGCTGTAGGGAAGACCTGCACAAGGTGGATGTGATGACATTTTGCCAGCAGAAGATAACCACAGGCTGTGATCTCTCAACACAGAGGGGCAGAGATTCCTCTCTCCTCTGGAAACTCCTGGTCCTCCTCTGCCGGCAGAATGGGGTAGGTATCCCATGGAAGGGGATGACACTTTTGATCTTGGAAATGAGACAATATGTCCCTTAGGTACCTCTTGATCCAGTTGCTGTTTCTTGGGGGAAGGTGTGTACCTTAAGAGGATCTGATTTTCATTCCTCAGTCAAATCCTTCTCTGTGATTGCTTTTTATCCTTGGGGACTGCCAACAGCCCAATGGAGGGGCCTGGTGCCACCTTCATGGAGATGCTTAAAAGGGAGCCATTCCCTTAATCCACTGAAATCCACCCAATCCAGTCTGCAGCTGCTTGTTGGAAGCAGGTGGATAGATAAGTTTGTCAGAGGGAATGTTGTGAAGGTCTTCCTAATTGTGCTGAGTCCTTTCCCTTCCAACTCCCCGTGCTGTTGGCCAAAGCTGGTCTTGTTTGGGGCACGTGCTGGGATGAGGATGCAGGTGTACAAAGGGGCAGACTGGAAGTGCCCTCAGCCTTTGCTGGTGGGGCAGGCTCCGGGTGGCTCATTCCTTCCCTTTCCCAGTCCATGGTGGGCTCGGACACGGCCGAGCTGCTGATGCAGGACTGCAGGCGCCAGGACAAGTACAAGAGGCAGGAGCCCGTGCCCAGCCTGGTGGGCCTGGTGGACGACGAGTGGGCGTCGCGCCAGCCGGGCGCGCTGGACCTCATCACCGGCGAGGTCCCGCCCGTCGTGGAGACGCAGGCACAGATAGTGGAGAAGTTCACCAAGCTCCTCTACTATGGCAGGAAGAAAGTAAGTGGTGAGTGGGAACCAGGATGTGGGGCTGTAGATTTTTAGATTTTTTTTTTTTGGACTTGTTGGCTTCTTCAGGCAGGTTTTAAAGGGAAGGGTGGTCAAGAAGTGATTTGTGGTTGTGGGATGAACCCTCCAAGCTGTGTTTGTACAACAAGGCTTTTGGCAGTGATTTCCCACCACTGGGAACTGGGATGCGGGCCCAGGTGAAGATGAGATGCAGAGGCTTTTACCGGCACTTCTACCACATTTAGTTTCCTGGAGTCCTAGAATGATTTGCTTTGGAAGGGACCTTAAAGGTTGTCTTGTTCCAGACCCATTTGCAGCTATGTGATCTCACAGGATACTTAAGGCACAAGGAGAAGAGAGGAGGGTTGCAGATTGGGTGCTCAGATATGGGATGCCATGATATTGAGAGCTAACAGGCAGCACAGACCTGGAAATTTAGGGGACACAACATTGCTTTGAAGGTTCAAGTTCTTGTAAATTTTCAAGGTAGAAAGACAAATAGACCTGGAATAGATTTTTGGAGGATGCTAATTAAAGCCAGAGCAGTTATTGGGACTCTTCTCTGAGCTGGGGGAAAGAGGAGGGGGGAAGCAGAGTTGGTGCAAACCCTATTTCTTCTCCCCCTCAACTGCAGGATGCTCTGGTCTGGGCCATGAGAAACCAGCTGTGGGGCCATGCCCTATTCCTCTCTAGCAAGATGGACCCTCGGACGTACAGCTGGGTCCTCACCGGGTAAGTTGGAGAAGCTAAAGCAGGGCATGATGTTCCATGCCTGGCTTTCCAAACCTGCTATCCCTTCAGTGCCTCCTGAATTGGAAAAGAGCATTGATTCCAGCTGGAGCCTTTCCAGAGGGGAAAAAGGGGACAGAAGGCATCCATTCAAACAGGCCTGAGTCCTTCAGGCTTCCCAACAGACAGGAGAAATCAAGTGGGGGGCTGGAAAGCAGGAGGAAAGCCATTCCCTGGAGAGGGAGGGTTAATTTATTCTGAGTCTTTGGCTTTGCCCATGTTGCCCTAGCAAAGACAGGCATGAGGCAGGAAGAGCTGAGCCATTTTCACTGTGATCCAGTCTAGTCCCAGCTGTTCATCCCACTCGTATGAGAATTTTCTGGTGGAATTTAATGTACTTAGTCTGGATTGGGTTGATCCCTTCAGGGAGAGTTAAGCAGAAATTTTCTGTCTTGTGGAACCCAAATCCTTTTAAGGAGGTTTTATGCAGTGTTGTCCTGGAGACCTGCCTTCTCTGAAGGTAATACTGATCATCACCCCCAGAGGCTGGTGATCCTCTCTGCCTCCTATTTACAAGGGCATGGAGTGATAGGATAGGGAGGAATGGCTGTAGCTAAAGGAGGGTAGATTTAGATTAGATGTTACAAAGAAATTCTTCCCTCTGAGGGTAGGGAGGCACTGGCACAGGTTGTTCAGAGCAGCTGTGGCTGCTCCATCTCTGGAAGTGTCCAAGACCAGGTTGGACAGGGCTTGGAGCAACCTGATCTAGTGGAAAGTGTCCCTGCCTATGGCAGGGAGGTTGGACTAGAAGGTGCCCTCCAACTCAATCCATTTTTGGATTCTCTGGGAAACCCCTTGAGACATCAGTTTCCTAGGGCATTTGGGCTGTGCTCTGGGAGGTGAATGAAGGTTTGGGGTCCTGGTCTGCAGCCCTTCTCTGCTGTCTCCTCACAGGTTCACCAGTACACTGGCCACCAACGACCCACTGCAGACCCTCTTCCAGCTGATGTCGGGAAGGATCCCTCAGGCAGCTCTGGTCTGTGAGCAAGAGGCTGGCCCTGGCAGGTGTTCCCCTGTGCTGTCACCTGCCTGTGACACACACCTTTTGGTGACCATCTCTGCTCACCTTTACTCTCCTCCTCTCCCTCCAGTGCTGCGGGGATGCCACGTGGGGGGACTGGAGGCCCCACCTGGCTGTGATGCTGTCCAACAAGGTTGGAGACATGGAGCTGAACCACCGAGCCATTGTCACCATGGGAGACACTTTGGGTGAGCTGAGATCAGTGGGAGCAGCTGGGCCCAGGGAAGGTGTGGGTAACTGCAGGGACTGAGCCTTGCTCCCACTGGTGGGATTTTATGCACCCTGCAAGAGCTGGAGCTCACCCTGCTCAGGCTCACCCAGTTCTACCACTGAGCAGGAATCTCCTGAAACAAAAAGCAGCAATTGGGGAAAACAGATAAAAAAACAGGGACAAGGGAAGGGATCAGGGTCCGCATGGGCAGGAAAGTGAGGCAGTTTGGTTTGTATTTTTGGGTGAGCTTGAAAGCAAAGCAGACCATGGGGTGATGCCTCAGGACTAATTGTTTGCCTTTTTCCATCCAGCCAGCAAGGGATCAGTCGAAGCAGCTCATTTCTGCTACCTGATGGCAGATGTTCCTTTTGGTTACTTTGGATCAAAGGCAGATCGCATGGCCCTGCTGGGCAGCAGCCACCGGTGAGCAAGGCTGGGGTTCTTGCCAGAGTCACCTGTCCCACATTTTCCCCATCCCTGGGATCTCACTTTGATGCAGAAGCAGTCCCTGCTCGGGGCTTTTCCTGCTGCTAAGGCATGCTCTGTGTGGGGCTGTTTGGGGAGGGAGCTCTGTCCCTGCTCGCTGACCCACCCCTCTCCTCTGCAGCCAGGAGTTTTCCAGGTTTGCCAGGACAGAGGCCATCCAGAGGATGGAAATCTTCGAGTACTGCCAGCAGCTACGACAGCCTGAATCCTTCCTGCTCCCTTTCCAGGTAGTGGATATGCTCACCTACATCTTGTGCAGAGCTCAGACTTCCCCCAAAACATGCACCCATCTCCCTGAAGCCTGGAATTCAAGCTGTTCCTGAGGCTTGTCCCCTTACTGGGCTTTGGGAATGATGGGGAGGTTGCCTTGGCCAAGGGACTAATTCAGGGCAGGTTTTGGGGTGTACAGTGTGTCTAATCAGTGGTTCCTGAGCTCTCATTGCCTCCCTGCTCTCTGTACAACAGGTGAGCTTTTCCTATTACAAAGCAGCACCCAGCTGTTGCTGCCTTGGGCACTATGGGTTTGGATGAATACATCCCTGGAAGTGTTCAAGGCCAGGCTGGATGGGGCTTGGAGCAATGTGGTCTAGTGGGAGGTGTCCCTGGCCATGGCAGGGGGCTGGAACTACATAAGCTGTAATGCCCCTTCCAACACAAACCATTCCAGGATTCTCTGAAGCTGCCTAGTTCAAGGAAGGGGGGGCTGGATGCTTCCATGGGGATGGGTGGAAGTGGCCTCAAGCTGCTAGTGACCTCTGGGTGCA